ACACACACACACACAGCTATCTTCCAACACACACCCATCGTTAAAATTAATCAGAAGTGTCTTTCGAACGTGATGTCACGGCGAGCCATATTATGTGACCCCATAGAGAATGGAGACGCTGAAAGTGCAAAGCAGATCTCGACTTTTTCGAATAGAGAGCTCAAATACACATATTTACTTTTACTTTACTTCTACTTTTTTCATCCGCTTGTACCGTGGGTGTCGCGGGGAGACACAGGCGTCTGTCTACAGCGAGGCGAGTGGCCTGTAGGAGGGACATCCCGTGAGCTCTCAGGGTGTCTGCCACAGATACACTCCATCGTCGCCTTGGTCTTCCTCTGGCTCTCCATCCAGAATATTCCATGTTGTATGTTCTCTGAGCTGGATGGTTTGAGGGCATCCGCGTGAGGTGCCCGTTAATTTCATATTAGTTGAAACAGTTTTATCTGGATTCTTCCAATTCACTATGCAACTTCATTTAGTTCGTTATATCTGATGGAAACGTTGGAAAATATTACTCTTTCCCTTTGCCTGTTGACTCTACTGAGTGAAAAGTGTAACATTTGAAGGTTGTGTGTTGATATTATAGCGCCAAAAGCATACAGTTCATTTTAAAATGGTGAAATGGTATAGGTTTAACGTCTCTATCAAAACTGTTAGGTTATTTAAGAAGCAGGACCTCCGAATTTAACTTTCATTTAAGAAAAGACCGAGCCAAGTGGGAAATTCGTGTTAAGTGCCTTTCCCAAGGGCACAACGTCGGACAGTACTGAGGCTCGAACCTCCGAACCAGCAATCTCACGATTACGAATACCGTTGCCAAACCACTAGGCCACCATAATATAACTAATATAAGCATTAAAATTAGTACACAAAAAATGAAGAGGTGACGTTATTAACTTTTGGGCAGAACTAATTTGTCAAGGTAAACAGAAATTAAAAAAATTAAACAAGAAGAAATGCACAAAATTAATTCTTTTATTATAACTTCATATCATTTTTTTTTCATGCAAACACTGGAAGTGCGGAGACTTTCTTTTTGCGATTGAAATATCTATTTAGGCATTTGTGCGTGCGTGTGTATATGTGTGTATGTATGTGTGTGTATGTGTGTGTTTATCTATGTTCTATGTGTGTGTGTATGTGTGTGTAATTGTGTATTTAACGTTGCTCAACGTGTGTACATTGTAATGCGCCATATTGAGAGTGTTATTCAATCATTAATTTATTCAAAAACATTTTTTTTAAAGATATATATATATATA